GTTGAAAAACCAAAAATATGGTATCAAAATGCTAGAAGGCATGAGATTGCACAACGAATCTTTGATGGTTGAGTTAGAAAGTATGTTTTTAGTCCAATTAACATAAGCCGTTCATTTTGGTGATATGCTTAGATCTAGGTCTCACAAACATCATCAGATGATTCTATTAGTCCTTTTTATTTTCTTGAATTTGCTTTAATACAAGTTTTTCTTGGATTGGGGGGTTCCTTGAAAGAAAAAAACTTGTGTTAAAACAAATTCAAGAAAATGAAAAGAATCAAAAAAATCATCTCATGATGTTTCTGATACTTAGATCTAAACATCTCATCAAAATTAAAAGTTTATGTTAATTGGGCTAAAAAATTACTCTCTAATACAACCACCAAATATTCTTTATGCAATCTCATGCCTAGGGTTATGAGATAAAAACCACTCTTTTGATTCCTAGGGTTATTGAAAGTTTAGAGAGAGAGAGAATCAAATTAAAAGCAAGAGACAAAAATCGCAGGTTGGAGGAGGGTTCACGGGAGAGAGAGAGACAGGGGCAAGATGCTAAGGTTGGAGGGTTCACGAGAGAGAGAGAGGGGCAGGTTGCTGAGGGTGGAGGACGGTTCACGGGAGAGAGAGAGAGGGAGAGCGAGAGTTTACCTAGAGAGAGAGAACACCCACGAGGCGTCAAAACGGGGGAAATAAATCACAGCCGTTGGACCCTATGAATAAATCACAACTGTTCGGCTTATCAAGTTTCTGTAGGCGAGACGGATCACACAATTATATCTATAAACTGTTCGGCTTATCAAGTTTCTGTAGGCGAGACGGATCACACAATTATATATATATATATATAAATGAAGATCTTACAAAACGTCTATAGACGCAAATGAACTGTGATTTTTATCGATCTTTATTACCGTCTAAAATTCATCGCATGGTCACGATTATCCAGTGGTATTTTATTTTTCATTTTTTTTTCTACAAATCCAAATTAGTTTAAATTTGAAGAGTGTGTACATCTTAGTGAAGTGCACTTAATAAAAATATGAAAAAAATTATTTATAAAATATAAATTGACTAAAATACCTCTTAAAATTTATAAGAGTATTTTGGTTAATTTATATTTTGTGAATTATTTTTTTCATATTTTTATTAAGCGTGCCTCACTAAGATGTACGTACGCTTTAAATTTCAGATCATTCCGATTAGTAAAAGTAATAAATATTAAAACACTACCAGACAATTGTGACCGTACGATAAAATTTGTATGGTGATAAAAGTAGGCAAAATCATTGTTCATTTTCGCATATAGGTGTTTTGCGGTACTGCATAATGCAACCATCTCCAAAAACCATGTTTGAGACATTTGTTTGACACAAATTTTTAAATGTACACTCTTCATTCTGAAGAACAACTACAAAAAAAAAAAATTTTGAAAAAATACTCTACAAAGTTTTCATTCTAGCTCAATTAATAAGCCGTCCATTTTATTGAAATGGTTAGATATAAGCCTCAGAAGAATTTTTTTATGCCCAAAATTTTTATATAGCGTATTATCATTAGATTAATAATGCTAAAACTTAAAAAAGTGATTTTGAATTTGTTAAGGCCTAAATCTTGAATTTCACCAAATGGATGGTCGAGATTCATTGTTGTATGGGTACTAATTTTGACCATATCTAAGATGCAAATTGAATTTTTTTTTCTTTATAGGATTGATTATGAGGATGAAGAGAATGTGTGTGCAAAATTTTAGGTCATACAAATGCCAAAAATATGATTTTCTAGATGTGTAGTTGCATTATACTACTATACAATTGTTACATTAGATCATTTCCCC